GTTCACATACTGCAGATTTAATAATGCAGTTACTGTCAGAAAGATTATATGATCACCATTTCAATTCTGTAAGAAAAACCCTTCAGGAGCTCTGTCAATCCACTGCTAAATGCTGTGAGGAGGTGGGGATGGTAATTTACAGAGAGGAGGAGGAGGAAATGGGCCCCAGCAGTTGTCACTACAGGATACCGATCCCAAGAACAAGATAAGAGAGACGCTCTGGGCACCAAGTAAGATAACACGTCTGAGTCCAGAACAGGGTGATACTGGATTTTTTTTTTTCTTTGACCACGCTATGACTCTGATCTCCCAAGGCAGCTGCAGTACTGGCTTACCTTGAGGAGCTGACTAGAGCTTCTTGGCTACATGCAAAGGCTGCAGTTATGCTCGTGGGGAAGGCAGCTCAGTGAAAGAGCATCCACAGAGAGCAGACATGGGTGCTGAGGATGTGACCTGTGTGATATTTCTGTTTTCCATGCTTTGCTCTCTGCTAACTGTTGTCTGCTTCTGTGGCCTGAGCTCACTGTGGTGATAGGATCAAACCAGTCAGTTTAGCTCTGGTTTAAGTGCCCAAAGGATGCTCTGTAGAGTACAGGAGTACAGAGGACAGGAGTAGAGGACAAATAGAATATTTGCTTCAGAGGTGAGAGCAGAAGGTGATTGCTCTGAATGTATCCTTGCATTGCCATTCTGTCTCCCCTGTATTTCAGCCTGAGGTAATGAACTTCCTCACTTCTCCATTTGTACCTGTAGACTACAGTTTCTCTAACCTGTCAGTGGAAAAGTTTGCATTAATGAAGCAAACTTTTCATTCTTTCTTGTGCTCACAGCATGAGGTGTAATTACTTTTTACAAAACCTTGTGAGTTAGCTTTTTCTGGTTTTCTCTCAACTACAGTGCTCTCTTCATTTCCCCTTGTTCTGTTCCATAGCGAGCACTTTCACTACTTAGTCATTACTGCTCTACCCCTTGTTCAAGTCACAAGTGTAAGCTGCTCTGACAGGTGAAAGGCTGGTTTCAAGCAATCACTGATCTTACCAGCAGTAAAACGAGAAAACAAAGAAAACACCATTTGCTGATTATGATTGCTGTTGAAGTATCTATGAGTGTAGATGTGTCAGAGGCAGAGAGAACATTGTTTTGAGTCAGTAGAAACTTTTTTCCCCGCAGGCATTAAGAGTGAAGATTAATACTTTTTGAAAGAAAGCTTTTAGCTTTTTGTTGCATTTCACACTAGTATGGGTCTATGTATTTTACTGCCCAATGTGGCTACTGATACTGGGAGCTCTGGATGCTCTAATTCTCTGCACTCCAGTCTTTTTTATGCAGGTTTCCCCCTTCTGCCTGTCATTTGCTGATGTATTCTCCTCCAGCAGCCAGCTAATAGACAACAGCCAGGACTGGTGTTTAGGTCAATTGGAAGTTTATCTCTGCTAATTTTGCACTTGTCAGTGCTGCTTGTTTCTGTTGACTTTATTATTTTTGAATCCAGGAAATTAGAAATTGTTAGATATGTTGGGTTGATTTCAGTGTGCTGCCCGCAACCACCACCTCATTGGTACAGTCATCTGGAGCAGGGTTTGGGCAGGCTAAAACACATTTCAGTTTGAATGGCCTTTAGCAGTAAGCCAGGTTAGGCTACTGGGATGTTCAGCGCATAAGGGAGAGGACCTAAGTGACAGTGTCTGACCTGTGACTGATCTTTGACTGTAAATGACAGCATCCTTCTCCTTGCAAAACAAGAGAAGTCTGACATCTCAACTAATTGACCTCTTGTTTTTAATTTCTAATGATAATATATCATTTATTCGTGCATAAGAAATAATAGAAATATAATGCTGACACTTCTTAGGCACCCTTGTTAAGTATACGCAATATTAAATATTCAAGTTAAATTGTGTTATTTAAAAATCAAATATGTTTTTTAACATATAGCGCCATCTATCATCAAGCATTTGTAGCTGCATTGTGTTTTTAGAGAAGTAATCTCAGCAAAGCTTAGAAATTAATTATTTGGAGTGGAACAAAATAATTCATGACTTGTATTTTGTAGGATTTTTTCTAGGATTGTGTGCATCTGCATGCACAGCAAGCCAGTGAGCTCGAAGCTTATCTGGATACATATGCAGAGATCAGTCTGAAATTGGGATAAGGAGGATTCATCAAAAAAATCAGAGACCTATTTTCGTTTGTTCAGGGTACAGGAAGACTACAGGCACCTGGAAATGGGTAGTGCATGCTGAGCTGTTAGTTACTTCTGTATAGTGCCACTGATCTGTGGATCCATAGAATTACAAACAAAAGACAATCACACGGTGATGGAAGATTTCCAGAGTTTCATGTTCCATGTATCTTATTGACCTATACATTCAACCTGGCTCTAGGTATACATATATTTTTTTTTCTCCTAGTGTTTTTTGTCCCAGTTGACTACTGGGCTGCAAGTGCAGGCACATCAGTGTGGTGGCTGCTGCTCTCCTATGATAAAATGTCAACAGATGTAAGAAAAATATAAGAGGAAACGTGGTGGAGTTTGGGAAGGGAGGAAGAAGCATTATTTCTTTAGTACCTATCTGCTTAAAAATAACCAGGCCATCTCTAAACCTTTGCACAGGCCGGGAAGCAGTGAGGTTTGGGAGTATTCCCAGATGTTGCCCAGTAGCTGTTGTGTTGTTGAACTCATTTCTTCACAGCAGAAGAAATCCAGAACGGGACAGAGAAGCGGTAAGAGTTTTGGCCTTATTGCAGTATCCCTACTGGCAGATTTGCCTGTAATGACCAAATGTAGCCAATTGCTAATTGCCTTTGTGGGGCACAGAAGTGTCTGAACTGGAGAGAAGCATTCTCCAGCAGAGTCTGCTTCAGGTGTGGGTGAAGAAAGGTCACACTGCAACAAAAGGAAGCAAAGCTTTTAAACGTCATTCCCTGTGAGGCAGGTGCTAAATATGTCCTATGTCTCCCAGCCAAGCCAAGCTTTTAAATGCATGCTAACTTTAAGCAGGTTAATTACACGTTCTCTGATGAGCACTGCAGAGTGCTTTCTTCCATAAATAAAGTCTGCCCTTGAGTACTTCTCTCAGAAAGTCCTTATATATTACTGGAAGGCTCACAGCTACCATGATGCCATTGGCAGGACAGAAAATGGCTTACAAACCAGTAATAAGGACAGTTATTCACAGCGGTGAATAAATAGCATAGACTTTGATACAATGGGCTCCCTCTCTTTTCCTGTCTAGCTGGCTGCGCCATTAAATACACGATGGGATTTTTTAGCTTTGCAGCTGATGGATGGCCCTGAGCTGTGATTTGTGCGCTCCGGTTTGGTGCAGGCTGTGGTTCTGCCTGTCTGTCGCCAGAGGTCAGCAAAGGACCTCTGTGCTGCCTGGTAGCTTGCAGAGAGCTACACGCTACCGTCTCAGGGCTTTAGAGGAGGCTATGATTTCTTTTCCTCTGGAAAAGGGTTTTTGAGCACGTGAAAATGGATTTAAGAATAAAACAGTTCACAAAAAAATGAACTGTTTCGGGTATGATGATGATTTTTCCCCATAAAGTGTGCACAATACAGTTTAAATTATGCATAACTCTATTACAATATAATCAGTGCAAGTACATACACAGAGTACAATAAATTATGCATGTGCCCTTAATATTTCATAAGTAAGAAGCATAGCATGTATTGATTTCATCGAGACCCGAACACTCAACAGAACATTTAAACATTTCTATTTTTAAATCCATGAATCACCATAACGAGACTCTTCATATGCTTTCGGTTAGATACTTAACAACCTTGCTGAATTTCAGCCACAATGATAATCAGATTAATATTTTGAATGACTGCCCAAGGAATCGAAGGAGAGCCATTTCATCAATTTCATCAGTTTTACTAGTTTCTTGGCATAGTCTTTGGGAGTAAGATGCTGGCTGCTGGTGGTGGTGACAGTTTTTCTTAATATATATGTATATGCATATATATTCAATGAAGGAAAGTTCAAAGTAAGGCTTCTCTGAGAAATCAGACTGACACTGAGTGCTGTCTCTGTCAGCACTTCCTTAAGAACCAAAATCTTATTGACAGTTTAGAAGACAGAGCTGTGGTTGAACAGTAGAAATTGCTTACCTTGGACCAGCTGGTAAGGTTAGGACTTTCAGCTGCTTCCCCACACAGGTGTCAGAGATGCTTGTTAAATATTTCAAGCACCATCACAGTTTATAACACGATTGTAAACACAGTACCAATTTGGGCATTTTTCACATCCTGAATCTGCAGTTTTAAACTATATTCTATGCTTTCTCTAAGACAACGTTTGTCTTTTAATAGAAAGGTCAGAAAGGATCAAGAAGTCTGCTTAAGCAAGTAGTTGCACTAAATAAGTCATTTTATTTGGCCCTGATTATAATGCTAAGGAAGCTGATATTTATTAATTACAAATTGTAACAGAATTTTTTTCATTTTTAAAAGCTGGGATAAGTAGTTGACTCGGTTGTTTGGAAAACATATTAACGTGTATGCCAATATTGAGCCATTCTGGATAAAACATCTCCTTTAATAGATCTTTAATATTGCTATGCTTTTCTTCCACAAGTGTTTTTGTGGTGAACTGAGAAAACCAGCTCAGACCTTTCTTATAGTACTAAAGTTCAGTATTTGATTGTTTTTTGGTTGTTGTTTTTTTTCCTGTTTGCTCAAAGGATCAGATTAAATTGGTTTGTTGTGTGTTATGAGAAAAAGTAATTTTCAAGTTGCGTTTGTCAAATTCTGAGTGTGTGATTCCAAGCCCTCTGACTCTAAAATTCTGTTGTTCTGTTACTCAGCTGCAACTTCTGAGATCCAAAAATGATTAATCTACCAAGAATAAATTGGTTTTTAGCTAGATAGGTCATATTAATGTTAGTTCATGATGATACAACAATATTTAATCTATTTTGTGCTCTGCATTCTTTTCATTTTTTCTCATCAGAGAAGGGATGAAAGCTCAAGTTAATTATTTTTCACTTACTTGGAGGGGCTTAGAACTTGTTGATCTCACCAAGTAGACGACATCTCATAGTTCCCCAGATCAAGCAGCAACTTTTCTTATATTCATCTCTGTAGATTTAAAAAAAAAGATTGTACAGATATATAGGAAAAGGATATCTTTTCTGTGTTAGTAACTGTTAAACAACCTGAAGGATAAAATCTCAAAAGACTTCCTTTGTAGATGCAGTTCTTTTTATGTGAGGCAAAAGACAGAGATCTTTAATCAAACCACTACTTAATTGTATGATCTAATGGTATCAAGTTTAGTTACAGTTCCCTTTAATTATTAAAAAAAAAAAAAAAAAAGGATACATGATAATTCTAAAATCAGATCATGCCATACATTATGTCTGTCAGTTTGCTCTGCAAGATGGGAAAAGAGCTTTGCACACTTGCAACATAAATGTCTCTTCTTCTCTGGTGTTGATAGTTGAAAAGATTTAAGAAACAGTTAAACTTGACACATTGTTTAAAACAGTTTAAGGTCTCCCTATTAATGAAAAAATTGCTGTGTCTGTTTCAGACTGTCCAGCTTTGTAGCAGATGGGCAGTAGAAAGAAAAGAACTGAATGCTGAGGGAAAGAGTTGTTAAGAAGCAGAGTGGTTTACAGAGGTCCCACTTGTGGTACCCTTGCAGCAGCTGGCAGCTCACAGATGTATGAGCAAGATGCCTCGCCCCCTGCCTCATCCTTCATGAATTTCTCAGTACTTTCTTTGAACCCACCTAAGATTTTCACATTCACATTGTCCTCTCTCAGTGAGTTCTGCAAATCAACTGCATCTGCCCCCATAAAGATGTCTCCTGCTAGAAAGGGAATAGCCTAAGGCTAATGTCCCTGTTAGATCCTGTGTAAATCCTAATGGAAAGCAGGGAGAGCAGCTGAGTCATTGATGATAATGCTGGTTTCTAAATTTGGAGTCAAGAATCAAAGTTTAGGCACCTATAATGGAAAGTTTTTGCGATTTCCACGGTAAAGAAGAAATATGAGTTTTGCTACTGAGGAAGTAAGATGATATGAATTCTAGTGAGTAGTAAAGCCCACAATTTTATGGCGTTGAGTTAGAAATCTCTGTAGTTCTGCATCTGCTACCAAGCTTCTGCACAGCCCGTAGTGTCTGCCTGACTCCATCTGAAAAACAGACAGAAATTCTACTTTTGACCTAAAAATAAAGCAGCTCCTAGCACATGGGGGCAGCCTAGCTAGCACACATCAGTGTATTTGTCATCACTGCTTTAGAGGACAAGACCTGTGACCCTGTCTCAGGTGGGAACAAAGCCATTTACCCAAGGCCAGGCAGAGAGCTTTACATCAAAGCCCTCAGTTACAGCCTGGCATCTTAACTGCTGAGTTGCTGTGCCTCGAGACCGGCCCTTTTCTAAGGTATGAGTGTGATGCAAGGCTTAATTTGTGAATGGTTGCAAATATATTAAGAAAAAGAGGGTGAAGGTGACATTAGAAGAGAAGTGCATTAGCCTGTCTGCTGGGCAGTAGCAGCTGGAATATATCAAGGCTGCAGTAATATTTGATGGTGCGTGTTCTTTGCTTCAGGAATGCTGCCAAATGGCATTTTATTCATACCTTGGAGCTCTGTTCAGATGAAAAAAGTTAATTTCCATGCCTTTTTTTTTTTTTAAGCAACAAAATGCCTGCAGGTCTTTATACAGCTTGACTGTGCTGGAAACAAGGCCTGACTCACAGTAACAAGCACCATCTGAGCTGACATTATTTATGCTCAGAGTTAGGGTTTTAACAAGTGGCTGTGACAAGGGTGAAGGTGATGCTTTCAGAGCCAAGATTTTAGTGGACAGCACTAAATGATAGAATCACAGCCTGACCCTCACCCCAAGGCCCCGAGAAGAAACAGCTTTCTGTTAAATGTTTGTTTCTATTATGTCTTTATTTACTCTTTCCCACAATTCCTCTTCAATCTCCAAGTCACAGAATCATAGAATCCATGCAGCAGTTCTATAACCAGCTGTGGCTGAACTGTGTTTGTTTGTTTTTTCTCTAAGTGTTTAGAAAACAATCCCATCTGTATTTCTTTAACCTTGCTGATGCTGTCCCACTTCTCTTCTCCCAGCAAAGAAAACCATGAGTTCCCAGCTCTGCAGATGGGAACCTGCAACCCTCCCTCTGGGTGAGATCCCTCCCTTAGGTATGTTTCTCAGTAACAGTGAGTTAAGATCTGCTGTCCTAGCCTCACTTGCTGATTTTGCTTTTGGGGTTAATGTGAAGTCTGCTGAAGGCAGTAGATGTTTTAACAGTGTGCTTAACACACCCAGCTTTGAAGTATTGCTTTCCTTCTGAATTGCCTCCTGCATGCAACGTCTGCCACCTGCTACATCCTTGTTCATGCAGAGGTAGATTTATTTTTATTCCTGTTACAGCAGTCCTCTGGTAGACAGCACCCCCAGTGCTGGCACTGCCTATTAATTGCCATGTTTCCCATCTGGTGCTGTACAGTCTGAATCTCTTTAGCCAAGTACACACTAAGTTGTGGTCAGACATAAGAATTAGCTGGGGTCAGTGGTACAGAGTGGCATCGAGGAGAGGTTTTGTGCAGGATAAATTGCCGTTGCCACATCACTTGGACTGCCCAGCTGTGGCTGCTGTTGCTTAGCTACAAGATTGAGTCCAAGCCATAGCAGAGATGGCACTGAAGCATTTCAAATATGACAAGACCCGAAGGATGCTCGTCGATGTTCGTGCAGGAATATTATAGGTCCCATATGCTGAGATTTTAGTGACCGTGACTGTTAGCTTACATGGTGCTGGTTAGAGAGGATTGCATTGCCACTAGCTCAGCTGGGGTAGCTGGGGTGCTTGCATTCTGTGGACAGAGACACTGATTTTAAGGAGCGTGTGTGTCTGGGGAGGGAATTACTGAACAAAGGTCCTTGAAAAGGGGGAAATGAAATAAGAGGAGTTCCTTGGTAGCTTCTGCGAGAAAAAGCCCTAACATTCTCTATGGATATCTCTACTCTTCCTATAAATTCTTTATATGAATCATTAATTAGTGGAAGCACGTTCCCATGGCTCAAGGGCAGAGCAGTTAAAATGCAGAAAGCTGCAAGATGAAATGTGAAGTTTCTTTTTAAGATGCCTTTTACGTTTTCGAGACTTGGAGGAAAATTAGCCATGCAACCCCTCCGTTTACTTTGTTGCCGAAATATAACTCTCTGTAGGAGGATTGGTTCCCAGAGTTAAACCCTGGTTACTAGAGCTGAGCCACGTCATGTGCTGGCAACGTGAGCTGTATGACTGCCCATACGCGACGTGTGTGTATCGATGCGTCTGTCTGCAACGCTGACGCCTCTCAGCTTCTCACTGCTGGTTTGCATTGGTGTCTTGCTTTATATCTCTACAAACTGTGACTGCGTTTTTACAGTGTCATGAAAACAAATGACTTTGACTGCCCTGGATTTGTTTTTGGTTCCCAAAGCGGCGACATGTGAAGGACAAGAGCGCTGTGCTTCCAGCAATACTAATTAATAGTCTGAAGGTGTGTTCTCATTTTGACAGTTGAATTTAATCACAGTTCATCTGAACGCAGAATGGCTCTCTGGAACTCCAGCAGAAACTGGTGAATACTGTGAACACAAGGATTTAAGTGATAATCAAGATTTTTGGAAGAGATGTGATTTGTCATTTTCCAGGGCATAAGCCAGCCTCTCAATAGGAAAGGGCTTCATGAAACTTTCACTGTGGAAAATTTTTTAGTCATTGTGCACAGTTCTCACATGCCTGCCTGTAAGTGCCAGTGAGCTGCACCAAAAGAGGAGAGTGCTGACTGCATTTATCTTGAGCTTAACCCTCTCATTTTTCTGAGTTAATTGTGTCCTTTTGGACACAACGACCCCCTGTTATATTGCAAACATGCTTGGTGACTGCTGCCATAGCTTGCTCTCAAGGTGGATGAGGAGAGATGCTGCACAGATGAGAATGAAGGAGAGCTGTGCTCAGACAGTTCTGCATCTCATTTATGTGGGGGAAAAAAAAAGTCAGAGATAGACAGGACAGTGCCATTCTTTTGGCATCAGCAGAATTACCTAGAGAAATGACAACAGACTTGGGTCTGCTATCTTCTAGTGCTAGTGTAATGAAAAGTAACAGTCTTATAAAAATGAACAGATGTATTTCAAGGCTCCCTGATGCTGCCATTGGGAATGCAAAGACCACCTGCTTGACTCGCACTTCCTTTCTATGGTGACTGTGATGCTGGCTGGTGTGGAAAGGCAGACTGCAGAGAGCACTTCTTTAGGTTCAGCTGTCTTCAGTATGAGTCAGCAACAGGAAATAAAAGAGTAGAGCAGCACTGATGGAGCTGTGTCACTGTGCTGGTCTGTCTACAGAGCAAAGCCACAGGGAGAGGCTTTGTGCTGGGAAAGCTTCCTTGGAGCTACTGGCCATATTGGTCTATAGCTGCAAAGCAACTGAGTGTATGCCTACACCTCCAGAATGATGCTGGAACAAAGGGACTTACAAAAGGTTAAGGTCTGCAGTTCTAGCTTTCTGCTTATCTTCTGCATCTCTAAAGATTTTTCTTGGTGCTACCCTGACAAATGTGAGCTGAGGAAGGAACTACAGTTGACTGCAGAACTGACCAATTCTATTTTCCCTATTTTATGGCAGAGAACCGATATGGATGAAACCTTATCAGTTAAGATGAGAAAAACTCACTATAAAATATTTTGCATTATGCTTCTGGTCCGTGTACAGTGACACAGCCTTACTGAGAGAAAGTACACGGAATGACCTCATGTTATTCTTATTTCTTGCTGTTAAAAGCTATTTAACTTGACCATCTGTATAAATAGTGGGGAATAAACCCCTCCTTTGAAACCCCTTCAGTGGTTTTTGACCCCAAATTCAAAGGCAAGAGAAGCTCTCTATGAAATAAATGGTTATGCACCAAATTTTTGTAGAGGTCCTCTTTGAATAACAGAGCAGAAAATGAAAGCTCATAATCAAATTAAACAGGCTTTTGTTGTTGCCTAATAAAGAAAATTGCCTTAATATATGGCTTTCAGAAATCTGTGTCATATATATGTGTCATTTATGAGATTG